ATTGTAGGGAGTGCAAATAAGCTGTTCTATTTAAGCAATAATGAAAACCTGTGATGTTTCTCGAGACCCTTTCATTTCACATCTTTTTTTTCTTCATTCTATGGATGGATTGACACATGCGATATCTCAGAGGTATAAGCTAGAGCAGCTGTGAATTTCCTCAAAGTAAATCACAAGACATGTCTATCTATTATTGACCCACATAAGGAATTCCCACCCACCACCCAGAAGACGGTGGATCATTTTAGCGAGCAATAAATATCATGTTACATATCAATAAACCCATCACAGAGGTGTGCAGAAATTGCATGGGGGGACAGAGGGTTAGATTGAAAAGGGAGAGGGATTGAAGTGCGTCTGGTTTTGCCCCATGGTCTTGTGCCTCCTGGGATAGCTGGCAACTTTGTCAAGATCTCACACTCTAAAATCAATCACTGTAGACTGGGCAACATCAAAAAAAGGAAGACACACACACGAGCATGATGCCCAGTTACACAAGCAAATACACATTGACAGTAACATCTTCCGCCTTTTCTAGCCTCGGCAAGACAACATGTCATCATCGTCCTCAGTGTGTCACTGCAGTGTGTGGTTGTCATGATGTGATGATTATAGAGGAAGGACGGGACATCAGATTGGCTACAAAGTTAGGGGAACACACCTTTACACTCCTGGGTTATATTAACTGGAATGTAACTGTGAACTTAAACCAAGACATTAGCTCCCCAAGAGCTGCTGCAGCTTTCATTTAAAAGTTTTAAATTTAGTTGAATTTGTAAAAACCTTCCATTATTACTTCCATTATTATTATAGTAAAATTAAATTTTAAGGCAACGTCAAACAGAAGTTGTTAATCAAAGGCTAGCTTTCAATCAAACATGGTTGCCAGCAGAAGCACAGGACATTAAATGTGTTGCCATTAAATGACGTTGCATATTAAATCTGAGGAATATTTTGTTTTGTTGTAATTGTAAGTATTTCACGTCAAAGCCTTGCACTGCATCCACAGTGCTGGCCATTCTTTCTCTATACTACTGTATCTGAGAGATCTAATGTCTATTTTCTAGAATAAAAATTACATTTTTAGTTGACATGCATTTTACAGTTCTTTAAACAGGAGGTAAAAAAAGATTTATTTCTTTTTGCTCACGCTTGCACTGGAAGATTCCTACAGAAAAAATATTCTTGGTAGAATTCTTGTTGATGTGTTTCACACCAGGTTACACCCTGATTCTCTGCCAAATCGAAGCATTAAAAAGGTTATTTTAAACTTTCTCTTAGCTCCACATAAAGAAAAGAAAACAATTTGCCACAAATGGTTTTTCAGAAGCCAGGTATCCAGAGAAGTGGACTTTTGCGCTGAAATTTTTTTTTTTTAAGTTTTTGTTAAAAAAAATTGAATTAATAGCACATAACATAGCATACATCGAAGCATTAAAGATATTAAAGATATAATGACACACACACACTCAGTAAACATGTCTTAAATTGATTGATTAACATTAGACACATTTTGTTATTATAACAATATATAACAACTGATGGTTGTAGGACATATTTTGTACAGAAGTAAAAAACAGAAAACAACACCCACCGTGACATTTGTCTGTGCAGTAATTATTTTCCCCTGTTGACTTTAACATTTGTGGCAGTGTCCTGTGCTGTAGAAAGCAGCAGAGGGCAGGGCAGACACAAGCTGTCTGAATGATGTTAATTTATTTTTATAGGTGTTCATCAACACTGTACTGCATCTGCAAATATATATTTAAAAAAGTTTCCAGGTTTACATCAAGGATAGAATCTGGCATAAAAACTGTACTATATAAATATGCAGATGTGATGACCTTTATGACCTTGATGATGGTCAGTAAATCATTTATTTTTTAAAGAGAAATTCAATTTTTCTATAAATATATTTTGGACGAAATAGCAATAAATATTTCTGCTTAATTAGCAAAGACAAAATATACACTGCATAGTGATATAGAGTGTTATTGTACAGTATTTGCTTCTGCCCCATGTAGCTGGCCGCTGCTATGCTTTCCAGCTCTTTTGAGGGGAATAACCAGAAAGTTTAACACACACCAAAGGTAGTTCAGCTAAGACCTAATTTTTCTCACTCTGAAGTTTCGAGACTTGGAGTTCTGTATCTCGTCGTCTGTTGGGATCATGGGGCGAATACTACTTGTGAATCTTCTCCCAAACAAAATAAGATAACACAAAGTCCTGCTATCTGCAGATAAAAGTGAAATACTGTGCCGTCTGGTGGGATGAGAAAAAAGGAGGAGGGAGACAAAGGAAGGAGCAAAAAAGTTCTATCACATAATAGAGTTTAGAAGTTTTCATTTTTTTTTAACTTTTCCTGTGCCGGCAGCAACCAAGGTCATGTTTGTACCACATGCCAGAAATACACCTTGATTAAAAAAAAGATTTCCATTCCCCCACTACTATAGGTAAAATACTAGCCTTTGTTATCTTACTGTCTTTAGGAAATTAAACCTCACTGAGAGCATGTTAAACCTTATCCCCCAAGTTCTGATGTCCTAACATTCAAACCATGTTTACATGTTTTTAAATGTATACTGTTTAGTAAAGCATGAGGTGTATGAAACATTCTCCTCTGTGAATAACACCAGATAGAATTCCTGTCAAGTTACTAAATTGCACAGTAATTTAAAATCATAGAGTTGGCTCTGTATTCTTTCTCTTTGACCCCATTACAACATTATTTTATAGGGTTTCAGTTGCTGTAACTGTGGGTTTGGCGGCTGTCTTTACAAACCCTAAATAATTTCATTAAAACACAATAATGTACGTGTTTACTGCCATCTACTGATAACAGTACCACACCGTGCTGTGACCTATACTGTGCTTTGACTTAAGCGATCCGTGTGTAAACCAACGCATGGAAACAATGGCTCTGCAATGGTGTGATGTGTCTTTATGGAAATAATAATAATAATAATAATAAATTTTATTTAAAAAGCGCCTTTCAGGACACTCAAGGACACTTTACATCAAATAATAAAACAGATAATAATTTAAAACA